CCTCCTGTCTCTGCCTCTCTAACGCTGGAATTACAAGCACATACCGCCATGCCTGGTGCTGGAGATAAGAACCCAGGTCCTCATGTTGACTGAGCCATCTCCCCAGCTCCCACAACTGTATTCTTAATGCAAAACTGGGAGTGGTTTGGTACTAATCCCTAGGATTTTTTTTCACCTCAGTATGATTTTTATGGAAAGCTGGGTACCTGCAGTGAATGCTGGCCAAATCCATCACATTACCGCTGAGGTGGCATTTCTGCCAGTCTGTATTTTTAATATTGTGATTAATGTTTTCTACAAAAGAAATGTCACGTAGCCCACATAGGTCTTTTGAAATCCCCGGTACCCATTAAAATAAAAGTGAAGGTAAACAGTTTCCTGTAAGTCGGCGTGTTCTACACTCAGCAGCCCTGAACTCAGCTGTAAGCCACTGATCAGAAGTACTCAATTTGTGTTTAGATTTTATAAGATGTATTTGAAAAAGTAGACTCAGCTATACATGAAGTCACAAACTTAATTAACTATTTCCCACTGGGGGACAGATATCAACTTATGAAATTATACCTAAATTAATTACAGTTGAATCAAGTTGAAAATTCAATTCTTAAGTTGTACTGGCCACGCTTTAAGTGTGGACTAGGTCTGTGTTGCTGCCAGTGGCTTCCCTGTTTCACAATACAGTGGTAGAGTGTTCTTAAAGCCACACACCTAGGTAGTGTGCCTGCGTCCTGCCTTTGTATTCTCTCAAGCTGCCATCGAAGACGAATCGGTCTGTGTTATCAAAGCTTTCAGAAACCATGTGGTTAGTTAGTTCATTCACTGCCTCAGTTAGTTCCTTCTCTGTCGCTGTGGTATGACACCATGACCAAAGCAGCTTATAGAAGAAAGAGTTTATTGGGGGCTCAGAGTTTCAGAGGGTGAGTCTAGGACTGTCATGGCAGGGAACGTGGCAACAGGCAGGCAGGCATGCAGAGCGCTGGAGCAGTAGCTGAGAGCTTACATCTGACCCACAAGCATGAAGCAGAGAGAGAGCTAGAGAGCTAACTGGGAACAGGGTGGGCTTTTTAAGCCTCAGTGTTTGCCCCCAGTAGTGCACCTCCTCCAACAAGGCCACACCTCCTAATCCTTCACCAACAGTTCCACCAACCGGAGGCCAAGTATTCAAATATATGCATGTACGGGGACCATTCTCTTTCAAACCACCACATTACTAAGGAAAAATAGTTTATATATTATGTTTCAGCTTCGAGGCCAAGGTATATATTGTTTCAGCTTCAAGGCTAGGGGATGTCTTGTTGAGAGTAGGGATGGATAAATATTTTCTCACCTAAATCCTGTTGCTGCCTCACACTGCATCTTAAACTTCACTATCGTGAGGGTCCTGTCTGGCACCTCTTCTTTCCTGCATTATGTCTCACAGCTGGGTTCTTTGCCTCCAGAACACACACTTCCTGGCTTGAGAACTTAATACCCCTTTCCCTATGAGTCTGCATGCTCTGTGAGAGAAAGAAGTATTTTTATTCTCTAGAGGATCTCCTGATGTATATATAATGTATGGCACAGACAAAGGTGTAATGTGTAATGGGTAACATACAGTTACCAGCACAGGACAAGTAGGGGATATGTCATAGGTAGTGATAGAAATAATGGCACAGGGCAAGCAGCAACTATATCCTAATCGTATACGGTCACAGTGTGGGGCAGGTTCAGAACATGTAATAGATGCTATGTAGCTAATAGCAGTGACTAGAAGAGGATCTGATTTTTTTTTAACCTATATTAGAAGATAGAGTTTTGTGCAGGTCAAGGGAACAGAACTATTTTAGGGATTCTGTACAATAAAAGTATACAGGAAACACTCATGCCAGTAAGGATCTTCTTCTTGGCTTCCTGTGTTGCTTTATCTGTGTTCATTTTCCAGAAATGTCTATCACTTTATCTCTGTCTGTGTGTGACATATAAGGCACACTGAAGACAAAGAAATGAGGTGTATTGTGAAGTGCTAAATGTCCAGCCCAAAGACAAATGGGTGCAGAGAGGCATCTCCTGGTGTTTCAGGACAACCAAACAAACCCACCCCTTCAATTATAGCGGAGTAATGAGCCTACTCCACAGCATGTGGAAACATAATTAGAAATGTACTGGAGGCCAGCGGACCAGGTGTCAGGTCATTATCTGAATCATAAAGTTGGAAGTTATGCCCATTAAAGGTTACTAGTTTGGAAAAGGTTAGACTAGGAAGCAAGAGTCTTAGGAAATAAGAATTTTTCCAGTTCGAAGGATACTTTAGAACACCTCCAGCATCTGGCTTTTTCTTGTAATTTTTCATGGAAGGGTACTGTGTATGAGGACACAGCTCACGAGGGCACGGCTTGATGAATTTCTCCATCGGCCCAGAGTGCTTTATCACCTTGACCAGCATCCCCAGGGCCACTCTATGGCTACTTCCTCTTCCTCTCCCAACCCCTGCACCCCATCTTGACACACTGGAGTGTTTCCTGTTTGGGTACTTAATATGATGGATCATGCAGTCCCACTCTTAACCCAGCGTAATGGGCATTCATCCCAAGTGACAGTCCTCATGATGGACTCCTGAGAACAAACCCTGTTTTCAGATTTCCCTGTGACACAGCTTAAGTTGGTAGAGGCAACTGACTTCTGGTTCTTTGTTTTTTTCTTTAGGAAGTGTGTGTGTGTGTATGTGTGTGTGTGTGTGTGTGTGTGTGTGTGTGTGTGTGTGTGTGTGTGTGTGTAGGCTGGTGGCTTGTTTTATGAGGCAGGGTCTCTCATTAGGGACTGAGGCTTGCTAATTCGGCTAGGCTGGCTGCTGGTCAGGCTTCTTTTGTTTCCACCCCACAGTACAGAGATTTAAAGCATACACCATCAGGCCTGACTTATTTTCCTTTTCCTTTCTATGGGTTTAGAATATCCAGGCAGATTCTCATGCTTTTATGACAAGTACTTTGCTTACTGAACTTTCTCCTTAGCCCTTCTTTAGGAACACTTCCATGAAAACATGTTTGTGTGAATGTGTGTCTGCCTGTCCGCACTTATGTATATATGCTTTAAGAGGTTTTACTCAAATTAGAGTTTGAGGAGATGGATCAGTGGATAATGTGCTTGCTGTGCGAGCGTGATGACCTGAGTTGAGGTTCCAAGCACCTATATAAAAGCCGGACGCGGCTGCACATGTCTATAACCCTAGCATTAGCAGCTGGTTGGTGGGGAGGCGGTAGTAGATGAGGTAGAGGTGAGCAGAAGTGTAGGCCAGTTGTTGAGCTCTGTGTTCATTGAGAGAGGAGACTCTGTCTCAAAAGGTAAGGTGGATAGCAATAGTGGAGGGCAACCTCTTTCTGCCCCCACTGTAATGTGAGAAATATAAATAAAGTTTTATTCGTTACACTGTGCCATGGTGTACATAATATTCATTTCTTATTTATTTATTTATTTATTTATTTGTTTGTTTGTTTGTTTGTTTATTTATTTATTTATTTTGGAGCTGAGGACCAAACCCAGGGCCTTGTGCTTGCTAGGCAAGCGCTCTACCACTGAGCTAAATCCCCAACCCCCATAATATTCATTTCTTAGTGATATGTCTTAATGTGCTTTTCTTATTTGTACCCCAAGACCCACTACGTCTCCCCATTGGCATCATGTGGCTCTGTTGAGATGTAGGTGTCTCTCAATGCAATGAGCCAGCTGCTTACCTAAGAACAGTGTGATGGATTTACTGGATGTCCATGGCCATTGAACAGTAGAGTCCATGTGAGATACCTATCAAATACATTCTTAGAAGTGGAGTTGCCCAGCAGTGGGGTCCACCCATCAAAAATTTTCTCATGTTTGTAAGTAGCCTCCCAAAAAGTTTGGTGACTTTTAATCCAGCCAGGAAGATTGATATTTCCTTTTTTGTTTTTTGAAACAGGGTTTCTCTGTGTAGTCCTGGCTGTCCTGGAACTCACTCTGTAGACCAGGCTGGCCTCGAACTCAAGAGATTCACCTGCCTCTGCCTCTGCCTTCCGAGTGCTGGGATTAAAGGCGTGCGCCACCACCGCCCGGCTGTTGACATTTCTTGTTCCCAGTGTCCCTGCCTTGCTTTCTGCCTTGTCCAGGTTTTCAGTCTTTGTGGTCTGACCTAGCAAGAGTCACTGTCATTTCGGGTTACATTTGTTGCCTTTAGACAGATGTTCTTGTGTGTAGTGGACATCATCCCCATCCTTTGCTCCCTTTTCTGCTGACTTGTTCATATTTTTCTTTATGATTTCAAGGAGCCCTTTCGATAGGTAACCCTCTTCTAATGGTAATTTTATCCCCCCAGGTCTTTAAAAAAAATTACCATGATTGTTGCCACTTTTTGTTTTCTTTCAATCAGGTTTTAATTTTTAAAGACAAAGTTCACTAATTTTTTTTTTTTTCCGTAGTGGCTTCTGCTTTGTGTGTGTGTTTAGCAAGGAAAAGCATTGGGAGCTTGAGACAGACAGACATGCCTGGAGTGGGCAGAGATTTTAATGTGGAAAGTGCGGTTATGTGGCAGTTGAAATTCAAGTGAGAAGTGGTGTGAGCTGTTATAAATCATAAACATTTACACGTAATCTACCAATTCATTCATTCATTCATTCATTCATTCATTTATTTATAAAATTTACACGTAATCTACCAATTCATTCATTCATTCATTCATTCATTCATTCATTCATTCATTCATTTATTTATTTATTTATTTATTTGTTTGTTTGTTTGTTTGAGGCAGGGTTTCTCTGTGTAGTTTTGGTGCCTGTCCTGGATCTCACGCTGTAGACCAGGGCCTTGAACTCACAGAGATCCACCTGGCTCTGCCTCCTAAGTGCTGGGATTAAAGGCGTGTGCCACCACTGCCTACCCAATTTTTTTTTTAATTTGACCCATATTTGGCGGGATTTTTAGTTCAGTGCCTATTTCCTTTTATGCTTTGTTATTTGAGGTTCTAACTTCTCAAATGCTTTTTTGTTTTTCAATTTTAGATTGCAAATTATAACCGATTCCCGACACCGTTGCTGACGCCCAGAGATCCATGTCAGAAGTACTTCCAGGTCAGATATGATTTTACTTACTTCAATACTCAGGAACAGCTGAACGTCAAAGCTTAATAACATATAGGATGGTTATTTTAATGTTTAATTTAAATTCATATTTGCTAAAATAGCATTTTAAAATTTTCATTATTCTTTATACTATAATAGAAAAAGTAAGTATTTAAAAAATAAGAAGTCATTTGAACTTAACCGCATGTGTGTTACTGTTCATCACCGACGTCATATAAAAAAATTGCAGTTGACTATGGCTCAGTTTTCACCACCTGGCCTTGTATGTCATAGCCTGTGAACTGTTGATCTGTGGCAGAGAAGGTGTCGCTGCTGAGTCTTTGTAAACAGCATCTCCTGCCATGGGATTTGTCAAGACAAGAGTTCCCCACTTCCGCATTCTCCTTGGCCCTACCTAATTCTGATTAATTCCAGGCCTGAAGGAGACGGCCTCGATTTTATTGCATGTCCCTCTCTTTATGTCATGGCAGATGCTAGTCTGCACACCACAGTATGGTGTGGGATTTAATTACTGACCTCGGGGTAATATAAGGAAAAAGCAATTGTGGTAACTCTTTGAGATAAACTCTGTAAGTGGCAAACCGTGTGTAGCTTCTCTGTTTCCCTGGACAGGGACCACTTCTGAGGTTTTTATACCTGTTAGACTTAACCATGGGTCAGTGTCTTTAAATTCTGAAGTTAACCTTATCATTAGATTGTCTCAAATTTACCTAGAACTCTGTGTATTACATTTTTCCACAAAGAGGTTTAAAAAAAATTACAACTGAATACTGAACTTGATATTAGTATATGAAGGGCAAAAAATTTACTTATTTTTTTAAGATTTATTTGTTTTTACTTCATGTGTATGTGCTTTTTGCTTGCATGTACGTATGTATACCACATATGTGCCTGGTGCCTGCAGAGGTCAGAAGACGGTGTTGGAATCCTTGGAACTAGAATTACAGATGGCTATGAGCCACCATGTGGATGCTTGGAATAGAACACAGGTCCTTTGCAAGAACAGCAAGTGCTCTTAACTCTGAGCCCCCTCTCCAGCCCCAAGAAACCCACATTTACTAAGGGGAAAGGAAAAAAAATCAGTAGGGAAAAATGTGATAAACCTAAGCTCATGCAGGATAGTCAGAGGTTTAAAACTGACTCTTAGAAGTCCCTAATTATGCTGTGATTGTTTAAAGAGGGAGTAGATTTTTGAATAAATATGTACTTAAATATGTTTGTTAATTTTAGAAACTCAAAGCAAATATGTCCTTTAAAAAGACATTTTAAGTCAATGGGATTGTTGACACTCCCCAGTGGATGCAGAGGAGGGAGGGTCATGTGCACCCACCTGGGGTTCCACCACCCACACCCTGCTGCCCTTCATACATGTGGTATCAGAAGGTGCTTGAGCAGATAGGAGGGTGGAAAGTGAACTGAGGTCAGGGCTCTATGATATAAGCTATTATATTGTGACCTATGATGGGGTAGGACTTCTCAGAGATGCAGCTGTCTTAGAATTACACACATTCCTGTGAGTAATCCCTCCCCATGTTCCTGTAAATATGTCTAGCAAACCCACCAGTTCACTAAGTAAATAACGCACAGGTAAACTGTACACTGTAAGTACCAAGGATAATTCCTTTTAGGAATCCTTTCTGTTAATGTAGTAGGATCAAAACAATGAAAGAACGAGGCCAGCAAATATGCAAAGTCATGTGCTTCCATCTAAATGGAGGGAGAACAGTCAGGCACTTCCTAGAACCTGTCTTCTGTTGCGGTATTCTATGATTCAGCTCTACCCATCCTCTCTGAAGATATTCAAGTTGCTTTATACCTTGGTGGCTGCATAAATGCCTTAGTTATTACCCTATTGCTGTGAAGAGACACCATGACCACAGCAATTCTTATAAAAAAGAAAGCATTTAACTGGGACTGGCCTGCAGTTCAGAGGTTTAGTCCACTGTCATCTTGGTGGGGAGCATGGTGGTACACAGACAGACATGGTTCTTGAAAAGTAGCTGAGAGTTCTGCCCAGATCCACAGGCAGCAGGAAGAGACAGAGCCACTGGACCTGACTTGGGCTTTGAAACCTGAAATTCCACCCCAGTGACACACTTCCTTCAACCAGGCCACACCTCCTAAACCTTCTCAAGTAGTGCCGCTCCCCAGTGACTAAGCATTCAAATATCTGAGCCTGTAGGGGCCATTCTTATTCAAACCACCACAATAAGGTACAGAAACAGTTATCAAGCTTAATTTTAAAAGAAAGCTAATACTGCCAGGTGATGCTGTGGCAGGTACCAAAATTTATAAGTAAGTGTCGTATTTCCATGGTGTATCTTGTTCTGAGTTCCCCTCTTGCCGGGCAGTGGTGGCGCACGCCTTTAATCCTAATACTCAGGAGGCAGAGCTAGGGGGAATCTCTGTGAGTTCAAGGCTAGCCTGGTCTGCAGAGCGAGATCCAGGACAGGCACCAACACTACACAGAGAAACCCTGTCTCAACCCCCCCCCAAAAAAAAAGAAGTTCCCCTCTCCACCCCCAGAAACTCACATGGCAACTGGTGAGTGGTGGACTGACCAGAACCTCAGATGAGGTGTGCCTTCAGTCCCATCTTCCAACTCCAGGGAGGTAGGACCACAGGGAACCCTTCTAAAGCAAGCAAGCCTTCCAGGTTTATGCGGTCATCTGTCTAGAAAATTCCTCTTTGTCCTTGAAGGTTGAGCTCAGGAGTGCCTTCTGAGCAGGTCTCAGTGCCCAACAAAGTGAAGGAATTTTCCCATTTCATAGATTTTTGCTGTTTGCTTTTTCTTAATGTTATTTCCCTTTTGGAATTGGCTTGAGAACCAGCTGATCAGTTGGTCAAGAAGGCGAGTAATGTTCCTTTCCGGTACGCCTTCCTTCTCCGTCCACATCAGTGTTCCCACGCTTGAGCACTGACTGTTCATCAGATGTGATCATGGAAGTCTAGAGGGTCGTTAAAAAAGAAATTCATCTCTGAAAGACACAGAGGCTTTCCCAAAGCATGGATGTAGCTTAAAAATAACAAGAGAGACGTATCCTTGGGTTAGGGATCAAATACGTCTGTATAATTTTCTGATTCTCACCAAGACGTACCTTACCATCCCGCTTTGTATTTTCCAAGTAGCTGCTCATCAAATCTGCCAGGTGTGATGTTTTCCTTCTTATCCACCAATGGCTTCCTGCCCGTTCCTCAAGCTAATTGAGCATTCCCTTCTTTGAGAAACCTTCCCTGAACTTCTGTATCCATCTCAAATACCATGTTTTGGTAAGACCCTTTGCCCACTTCAGACACGGTGAGTTTGTGTAATAACTTCCTCTCTCACTGTCCGAATCAGGTTGAGCTTTAAAAAAACACGTCATAGTCTTTTTACTAACTGACAAATGAAAGTTTCGTATGTTCGCTGTGTCTAATGTCCTGTTCATTTAGAATGTGTACACGTTGTTGAATGACTAGCCTGTGTCTCGAATCCCCCCAGTTCCCTGGCACTGTTGAACAGAGCCAGCCCTCAGGCAGTTAGGGTAAAAAGGACGCAGGAAACCCTCAGGCGGGTAAGGCTTGGGAGCTGAAACAGCGACCTCATGAACCCCAAGAATTAGCCTGTGAAGTTGCTCTCCCAGCTCTAGGAACTTCCATGGTCCTAACGCTGCGGTCTCCCAGATCCTGTGGCCCGAGTTGCCTTCCCCAACTGCAGCCTCTTTGTTCACAGAGTGCTGCTTATCGCCTCTGGCACATGGAGAGTTTGCTTTCGTGGATAATACCAGGAAACCGGCTTTATTTTGCCGCTCCTCCCCAAAAGGAAGAGGGTGAAAAATCTGAGTTTATTTCATTTCCTTTATACTTTGAGGTGTAGTTCAAAAGGTAGCATTCCTCCGGGGAAGAAGTTTTGCTATTAACTCCTCAGTGGGATTAAAATCCTGTGGCAGAAAAGGAGAGGGGTGCGGGGAGAAAGAAAGAAAAAGAAAAGTTTTCTTCAAATGTGGGGCAGACCTTGGGCCTCCTTGCCTATTTGTTAATCCATTTCTAACTGTATCGCATGTCATGGGAGAGAAAGCAGTCTGTTACTGAAGAAAAAGGAAGAAGACTAGAGGTCTCCAAAAAGAAAAGGAAAGGGCTGGGCAGTGGTGGCACACACCTTTAATCCCAGTACTCAAGAGGCAGAGGCAGGCAGATCTCTGTGAGTTCGAGGCCAGCCTGGGCTACCAAGTGAGTTCCAGGAAAGTCAGAGCTGTTACACAGAGAGACCCTGTCTCTAAAAACCAAATGAATGAATGAATGAATGAATGAATGAATGAATGAGGTCAGCCATTATTCACCAGTAGATCCCTGCCTTGGAGGAAGGCCTGCATGGCCATACCTGTGCTAGGGCCCTTGTCTCTGGGATTAAAGATGCTCTGGCTTACTTAGTCTTGCCAGGCTTTTATGCAAAAGATATTTGTGTTTTAGCTGAGGCTATTTTAGTTGTAAAAAGTTCAAGACTTAAGCAGTATAACTAGGTAAACCAGTATGCTGGTCTGAGAAACCTAGGCTTTTCAGATTTAGGCTTAAGTCTGTTGGAGGGACACCCCCCTTCTGTGAGTCCTTAAAGCTGGACTTAAACATAGTTGAAAAAATGGGGACTGGGGGTAACCTTTTCTTCCTTTCTCTTTCTTCCTTGTTGTTCTTTGGGACAAAGTCTCCCTGGTGAGCCCAGGCTGGCTTCCGACTGGTGGTGGTCCTCCTGCCTCATCCTCTCACCCCTGGCTTCCACCTCTCTTCTAACCACTTCCTTGAGTCTCAGGACGAACGTTGTATGTCACATGCTCATCCTTAACCAGCCACCAGAATCATGAAGATTTGCTGCTCTGACTGGTTGTGCATGCATGTGTGTGCAGGCGCATGTGTGTGCAGGCACGCACACACCCACACACAAATAGGAGGTACAAGTTAGCAGCATTTGCGCTAAACCCATGACCCTAAGAGTCAGGAGGGTGAATTTTCCTTCT